TGCTAGTTAGGACCAGATCTAAACATGTCTGGCTGCAGTGGAGTAGCGACAATAGGAAACCTTGGAGTTCATAAACACATGGAGGTCCCTTTCCTCCTCTTTAACCTCTCCAGTGCTTTGTGTTCTTGGAGGCTTCCCTTTCGGGTCCTTCACTTAGGAACTTGGGGTTCTGGTTACTCTGTTCTGCTTCACATTGCCATATTTGGGGCCATGTTCAGGTCTCAGTGGTAGGAAAACAGAGGAAAAAAAAAAACAAAACAACAAGCTCACTCTCTTGAGATGGCAAACCTTCTGATCAAACAGCAGGTTTGCCCTTCCTCAGAATTTTGGTTCTGCCAGTTCCATTACTGACTGCTGCCACCACAGATGTGCTCTTATCTAGAGAGTAGAGAAAGCTAAGAAAGGAAGAAAATCAGGAGCATTCATGATCTCTCTCTGGGCATTAGTAGTCCCAAATTTCACTTCTTGAACCAAAATTCGGGGACTTCTCCCTGGAGCCCACTTGCAGTCTCCTGCTCTGCTATGTTCAAACCAGGAGGACACCAGAGTAGGTGAAATATAAACTCATTACTGGCTTGATGTCCCTCCTTTTCTGGTCTTCTTCCCCAATCTGCTTGCTGCTCTTTTCCTTTTATTGTCTTCAAATAGCTGATCTATGTAGTCTCTCCTGGAGCTATCATCAGCTGGAAGATGTGTGAACTGTGCTTACTCTTATCTTTCCTAGAACCAGAGTGCTCATGTTTTTAAAATATAGAAATATCCCCCCAAAATCCCAACTTCTTCTCAAAATCTCACAATGATGAGCCTGCTTTTCGGCAGGGTAACAGTATGGAGGCCAACGGTTGGCATGCCCTCTCTCACAGAGCAACTTCCCACGTTGTGTTATTTTGCCACCTTTTCTTAGGGGAGATTGAAACTAATATTTCCAGAGGGAAGCTGGGTGGGTATCACCTGGGCTCAGCTGCATATCTGCCTCTTAGTTCATCAGAGCTTTATGTTGCCAGCTCTTTCCTGCTTTCCCAGCCTCTAGTCCAGGTTAATTTCTCTGCACTCTGGCCCGAAACCTCTTCTACTGTGCTCTGCCCCTTGTGGAGTGTCTGCTTAGATCTCCCTCCACCTCTCTCTGCTTCCTTTTATGTTGGTTCTCTCACTCCTGCTCCTCACTCAGGACCAAGGCTTAACTCTGAGTGATTAAGTCCAGCTATGCCTGCTTGGACTCACCCTATGGTTGACTCCCTGTCACCCACCTTTGAGAAAGGCACCAGCACAGACTTTGGGGCCTACCCTTGGCATCTCAACCTACCAACCAAGTCTTGGCAGGCTCTGTTGGGACTCTAAAATATTGATGAAATACTTTCTCAAGATGTGCTGAAATTTTAAACCCCAGTTATTCATGGTATCATGTTCTTCTGTAAGAATGGGTGGCTTTTCTATTATCTTAATTTTGTGTCCATTACCAGGACTCCCAAGATACTTCTGGTTTGGAAATTTTCCAGAAGGAACAAGAGTTACTGACAAATGAAATAAGGCACATCTAAAGGAGTTCCAAGAAATATACCTTTTCTATCTTTTTCTTCTTGTGGCTAATATGCAAATAGGAACAGGTACAATTAGCAGTTGTTCAAGTCATAC